AGGGTTTCACTACAGACTTGATGGGCATGCAGACAGATTTAAATTTTGCACTTAAAAATTGATGTCAGGGATCCTGACAGAGGAAGCCTTCTGGTTGCAGATGGGTATGGGTCTCTCTGGGTTCATCTCCTCTTAAGAGGTTTTTAAATGGTTTTTCCTGTTCTTGAGATAGGCAGCTGAAGGTTCCTGGCTCCACCTTATGTTAGGAGTTGAGGCTTCATCGCCATGGCACCTTAGCCCAGGTCTTTTTCGCTTTTAAAAGGCTGCTGATGGTTCAGGATGGTCAGTGTATATATAGCTTGATGAGGAAATTAAACATAGAGATCCCTGGATACAGGTAATGAAGGAATCTCCAAGCCAGTGACCATCAAAGAATTAAAAAGCCCAGGCTGAGCACAGCACAGTATGGATGTGTATCTTGAGTAGCTCAGATTTGCACTCTCTGTGCTGCCAACAGCTTGTATGGGGGCGGGGTGGGGGTTAGGGAGAACCTTTCCACTGCTCAGGGTTTATCAAGCTGAGAAATGGGCACGAGGGTCTCCCCTTGGGAACAGCATTATGTGATAAAAAATTCCAATGGAATGAAATGTGACAGACTCAGATGAATGTCTTGGGGCAGGGGGCTAAATAGTAATTTAAGGTTCTGGCATCTTCCCCTTTCGGTCTCTCCCTGTGGAAAAAAGGACTTTCCCCTAGCGCTTGCTTTTGTCAACTTTTGAATGCAACAATTTGTGGCCTTGTCTTTTAACACCTTCCCTGCCCCACCCCAACCTCCAAGCCCAATCTCCACCTGGAGTTAGGAAAACCAAACCTGGCTGGTGGCATAGGGAAGAGGGAGAGGAAGTGTTAATGTCTCACTGCCAGGCACCAGCAGGAAGGCGAGGGCGGAACACCTTGAACATTACTTAGGTTAGAACAAGCTGGGTCCCTTCGCCTTCTCTGCTCACCCCTTGTCCATCTGCATTCAGTTTCCTTTCTCCCAGGGCACCAGGAGTTTCTCATTTCATCCTTGCCATTTTAATAGGAAAGAGAGCAGGCTGTGAACTCACGGGCAGGTAATGGCTGCCCACCTGAGGCAGGAAGGGGCCGTAACTAGGCAGGGGGTGGAGAAATCTCTGAATGCTTTTTCAGTCATGTTTTGGGGTGGCAGTGAGGAGCTCCACGAGGTGGGTTTTGATGGGAATCTGAGCTGCTGTGTCTCCCCACCCTGACCCCAGCCGACCACCATCCTCTACTGCTTAGCTGTCACTGCCTTCTAGGCTGTGAAACCTTTGTTCACCTTTGTGCAGGTGCTGGACCAAACCCCCCAAAATGGAGCCCAAGCTCACATGCCCCTGCTCCCCAAACACATGGGCTCCTCTGTACCTGAGGCCTTCTCTGTGGGTGGATTGTTTTAACCCCCAGATTGTTTAGATTAAAAGAAATAGGAACTGTGTAGATATTTAAAGGACTAGAAAAAAATATATTTAAGGATGATTGTGAAATTCTGCACCTTTGTATATGTTGGAAAGTTCCACTGCTGTGTGATGGGCTGGACTTTTAACTTATTAAATGGAATTGGAACCACAAGCAGTCTCCACCTTACCTGTTTCTCATAGCTACTGGTTTGTTGGAGTTCTTTCCAGGTGGGTCTCAAATACAAATCTCTCTTCGACTTGCTTGTAAAAACAGAGGCATACTTCTTTTTAAAAGTGTGGGTGAAAATATGATGTCTGTGCTTTAACTCAGTTGGAAGAATCTTTCTAGTGGCAACTGTTCCTCACCGTGACCTTCCTTGTCTCTTCTCCCATTCAAGTTGTCTAAGTTGTTTTCTTTTGCCCTCGCATTTCTGACAGCTGCAGCAAACTCTGGCAGGGAAGGTTTCCTTCTGTATGTAGGTGGGAAACACACAAAAACACCAACCCTCTGGAAAGTGCTGAGTTAGTGATACACTGACTCCCCTGCTCTTCCTTCCCCCTGCTCCATCAATCTCTCTTCACCCCCTCATCACACTGTTTCCGCCCTACACCCCTCCCACCGCAACCGATTCTCTCTATCGAGTCCTCCTAGCGCTCTCCAACGTGCTGTAACCAGGCAGCCCTTGCAGATTTTGGCCACTGGGCGGCAGCACGGGCGAGAAAACCCCGCAAAGTTTTGCAGCACCCGAAAAAACGAGCAAGTTTGCTAAATCAGTGGATCTAAGTGACCGCCGGCGTAGACTCCCTTTTTTGCACAAAATACGAGGGCTCGCTCTCGGGCACTTGTAAGCACGGCTGAATTCAGCCTCTGTGTCCCGAGAGCAGCTCATTCCATCCTCTCCCGTTCACAGCTTCCCTACCAGCTGCAACAGTGGGATGCAGGTGGTGCTGTGGGTTAAACCACAGATCCTAGGATTTGCCGATCAGAAGGTCGGCGGTTCGAATCCCCGTGACGGGGTGAGCTCCCGTTGCTCGGTCCCTGCTCCTGCCAACCTAGCAGAAAGCACATCAAAGTGCAAGTAGATAAATAGGTACCACTCCGGCAGGAAGGTAAACGGCGTTTCTGTGCGCTGCTCTGGTTTGCCAGAAGCGGCTTAGTCATGCTGGCCACATGACCCGGAAGCTGTACGCCGGCTCCCTCGGCCAATAAAGCAAGGTGAGCGCTGCAACCCCAGAGTCGGCCACGACTGGACTTAATGGCCAGGGGTCCCTTTACCTTTACCAGCTGCAACAACTTGTCTAGGAAAAAAAGGTGAATCAGGGGCAGATCTGGTTAAAGGTGTAGCGTGCAAACAGCCTGTAACACGGACGGGGGCATCCAATGAAGCTGAATGTTAGGTTCAAACCAGACTAAAGAACGGACTTCTTTCCACCGTACAGAACCGTAGGATTGTCTCCAGGAGCTGCCCCACCCCTTTCCTTGTTTTAGCCCTGCCAGCGTTGCTGCAGGGCTACTAGAGGGCTACTAGAGACTTTGTTTTTCACACAAGCCATTCTCCCCAGTTGAGATTCCCAGGAACTGGCATTCAGAGCCATACCACCTCCAAAAGTGGAGGTGGAACCATGGGCATAGCCAGAATTTGTTGGGTTGGAGGGGCAGGAGACCCACCTGTCACTATCCTCTGTCTGGCTCTGTCTAGCAGATTCAGAATGAAATGTCTCAACAGCTGTTCTTTTAAAATACTTTCCTTTGACCCCAAATGCTCAGAAAAATCTGTAATTTCTACTTTTAGTTAAGTATTTTTATTTATTGACTTGATTTGCGGAAGACGGCCTATGTTCTTAGCCCACATCCATTCCTGAAAATGACATCACCAGGGATTGGGTGATGGGAATGAGAGGCAGAGCAGCTGTGTGTCAGCTGCATAAGAGAATCATGTCCATGCCCTTTCAATTGTCTCAACCAGCAGTTATTTTCATGTAGATATTAAAAAGCACAGATGAGGATCTGTGGTACCACAAAGGTCATAGCAGTAACTTCAACCTCCAAGCACCATATTCTGGCCTTGGGCTTCTAGATTAGAACAACCAGAAAGGTTAAGGGGACAGAGCAGATGAAAGTTACACTAGAATTCATGGACACCTAATGATGCTGAATGTTGGAAGATGCAGAACAGACAAAAGGAAGTCCTTCATGCACCAGTATGGAACTCGTTCCCACAGTGATGGGAACCAACTTGGGATAGCTTGGGAAAAAGGGAGAATACTAATGGAGGATAAAGTTATCAATGGCAACTAATCCTGATGGCGATGTTCTACCTCACCTGGACTAGATGGCCCATGGGCCTGATCCAGCAGGCTCTTCTTATGTTCTTAGATGACCTACTGAAAGGTGGCATCTAGCCAGATCCAGAACAATACAGTGACTGATGGTACCAACTCTGCTAAGAGAGCCAGGAAAATCGCCTGGAATGGGACACCTATCTGGGTGACCAAGACAGTTTCCATTCCAAAAATCAGGCCTAAAGCTTGAATGGAATGGATCTAAGTGCTCATCTTCACTCAGAAACCTGGAGTGAAGATGCAACCCAAGGCACAAACACCCTAACTATGGTAATAGTTACTCATACCACTAGTGCCCAGGGCAGATTTCTTTAGTAAGGCTCACTCCATACAGAGCATCCTTCAGAATGGTGGGAACCACCCCCACTATAAGTAAGGAACCTACTAGGGCGGACACCTAGTTAGATATGACAGACCATCTGCCCCATTGACCAGCCAGGATGGGCAAAGGTAAAGCAGACACAGGCCCGGTCTCACTTCTCCAAGGAATCTGTCCAACCACTGAGGCCAGCAGCGTGAAACCTTGCCCAGCCCAAAACTTGGTGGGGACTCCTGTGGATGGCCAGGAGCCCTGCCTGCCCTTGTCTGGCCCCTCCCTCGACAACCCCACTGTCTGCTCTTCTGTAGCAGGGCTTTCCTGCTGTGGCTCTCTTGCAGGGACTTCCTTGACCTCTGGGGCCTGCCATACAATATAGGCAACGGGGGGGGGGGGCGACCCAAGAGGTCTGAAGAAGCAGTCCCCAGGAGCTGCTGAGGCTCACCAAGAAAGGGCGGCCATTCGCCTGCCCTCTTTGGTGCCAAAACAACAACACTTGGTCCGCCTTGGTTCGTGCCAGCGGTGCCAACTTGAATACAAAATTGAGGGGGCCCAGGTAAGCCCCACCCCGCATAATCGACCACAAGACACGGCACCTGCACACCACTTGAATGGGCAATTGCTAGGGGCCAAGGGGTCTTTGGCCCTCCCATAAAATATTTGAGGGGGCTGCCTCCCTAAGTTGATGGGCATTGCCATTCAAATGGTGTGCGTGCACGTGATTGATTATGCAGGACGGGGTTTAGTGCCCCCCAATATTTTGTTCAAGTTGGCACCCCTGATGCCCATCAACTTCTCCTCCGTCCACGAGGCGTCCTCCGGAGAGCCAGGCCGAGAGAAGATGCTCCTTGCCCTGGGCATCAGCCGGGGCCCCGCGCAGAGGAGGAGGCGGCGCTACGAAGCTCCCGGCAGGCGCGCCTTCCGAGCAAGCCGCCGCTCCCGCGTGCGCAGAAGGAGCCGCTGCCTCTCTGCGGCTCGGCCAGCCCGTGGACTACAACTCCCAGCGAGCTCCGGCAGAAGGAAAAGCCTTTGCCTCGGATAGCTGCTGCCGCTGCCGCTGCCGCTGCCGCTGCCGCCGCCGCCCAGGCTCAAGCGCCGAGCCCTCCCAGCTGCTGCGCTGGAGCCGGCCCGCGGCGCCGAGCAACAGGAGCCTCTGCATCTCGCCTAGGCCGGCGGCGCCCCATGCAGCTGCAGCTCCCGCCGCGGCCTGGAGGTGCCTCCCGAGGCCGCCGCCGGGCCGCTGGGAAGTAGCCTGGTCCGCCTCGCCGCTGCCCGCTCCCCGTCCTCCTCCTCTCCCTCCTCGTCTTCCTCCTCCTCCCCGCGCGGCCTTCGAGCAGGAGCCGGCGGAGCTGAGCATGGCTCGGGCGCTGCTGGGGCTGCTGCTGTGCTTGGGCTCCGGGGTGGCGCGAGGCCCCGTCCAGGCGCCCGTCGGGCTCCGGCTGCCCTTGCGGAGCGCGCCGATCCAGTCGCGGGAGCCGCGCTCGGCCGACGAGCAGGACGAGCCTCGCCCCGGCAGCGGCGGCGGCGGCGTCTTCGCCGACATGCTGGACAACCTGCGAGGCAAGTCCGGGCAGGGCTACTACGTGGAGATGACGGTGGGGAGCCCCCCGCAGAAGGTGAGCCGCCGTCGGGCCACGAGCTTGGCGCCCACTGACCCCCGTGGGCTGGCGGGCGGGCAGCGAGGGTTATCCGGCCAGGCCAGCGCCCTTCCCCATGCTGGGGTGGGGTGGGGTCCCTAAGGAGAGGGCATGACTCTAGATCAGGGTTTCCAAAACTTGGGTCGCCAGCTGATTTTGGACTACAACTCCCATCATCCCTAGCTAGCCGGACCAGTGGTCAGGGATGATGGGAATGGTAGTCCAAAAACAGCTGGAGACCCAAGTTCGGGAAATCGTGCTCTAGATGCTTTCAGAATGCTTCCTATCCAAGGCCAGTGATCCCCCCCTCTGAAGAAAGTCCGTGCGTTGCAGGTGGGGATGGGGCTATGTGGGGGAGAGAGTAAGTGTGTTGATGCTTGGGTGGGGCGGGGGCTCCCCAAGGCCACCTGGCAAGTTCAGGGCAGAGAGATCAACCTTGCAGCCTGTACTTTTTAGCTCACAGCTCTGACTCTTAGCCCCCAGCCCAGGATTTTCAGCTGGGCTTATGGTGGGGCACTTTGCAGGTGATTTCCAGGAGCTGGACCCTCAGAAGATCCAAAGTACCTGGGGGAAGGGAGACTGAAGGGGCCGCTGCAAGGATGAAAGGGGAAAGTTGGGTGTTGGGTGCTGCCTGCAGAGAGAGACAGATCACTTGCCTCCTTGTTCGCCCTTCATGGCCTGGAGGGCAAGATGGCAAGGGAGGACGTCTTCTCTGAGTCCTACCTGAATCCTTTCAAAATGCTTTTTTAAAAGGAGGAGATGGAGATGAAAGTTATTCAGATGTGGTCTGTCACTGAAATCGGGTCTCACTATGTCTAACCAGACCACACAACTAGTGACCATCCCTGTTCTCTCGTGTGACCAGCCCCATTGTGTCCTTAGCTGACATCCAGCAGCCTTTCCAGTGCAAAGCAAAGCAGTCCTTGTCGGTGGAGCTGTTTCTGCTGGCTCCTCAGCAGCTTTATTTGGGGTCCCCCCCAGGGAACAGACTGGGGGAAGGGCTTTGGGAAGAGGTGCAGCCATTGATAAAAATGAGCAGAGCGTGGAAATCATTTGTTTCCTATGGGATACCTGAGCATTTCTTCTCCACTGGTGAAAAAAGGCTTTGCTTATCTGGAGCTGCTTCTCTTTAGTAGCTTTGAAAATGAGAAGCTGCCGTAGAGAGAGACTGGTTGGGTGGGTGGGTGAAGAAGAGAGCTGGCTTAGAACGTGTGCGTGGATCCAAGGGGAGAAGTGGTGTTTTTGTCGTGTACGAAGACACAAAATTTCACAGGGATCCCTCTGTGCAGCTGGGTTGCCTGCTTCTACGCAAGCAGGCGGATGTACCTGGGCATTTGTTGAGCCTTAAGCCGCAGCTTAGCCGTGGGACTTATTTTTAGTGCTGGGGCTTGGCCTGAAATATTGCGGGCGATAGCCTCTGAGGATGTGCAGAACGCGTTTCTGGCACCTTTGCTTCTTTCCAAACTGACCCATGGTGTGCTCCATCATGGGTGAGGGGGCTCTCTGTGCCCTTCCACTGACTTTTTGCCGCTGGGGAAAAGGCCACGAAACCCCTCACCCCTTTGCCTCGCCTTGCCAAGCTGGTTTGCTTAGAGCTGCCTGATTCCAGGAAGGCTCCTGCAGCTCCCCAAGCCTCCTCTGCCGGCTGCCTCTTCAGCTCTCTGGCCGTGGGCCAAGTAAGCGAGAGATGCCAGCAACATATGGTGCTTTCAGTGGAATTAAAGGTTCCTTATATAAAGCGTGCATGTGTGTGAAAGCAAGTGGGAAAAGTACAAGCCTATATGTGTGCGTGAGTAAGTGGTACCAGGTGTGCATATTATGAGCACATTTGTTTTCTTAGGCCCAAGTGGCAAAATTCAGGCGAGCGAATTAAACCTCTCTGCAAAGCTGAGCCTCCAAAGCCAGAGCAAACACTGGCATTGCTTCCCCAAAGTGCTTGTATTCGGACTTTGAAGAGGCTCTAGACTGACAATGCGGTGCCACAAGCTACAGGGTACAAACTCTAACAGAGATTACGAACTCAAACTCATAAAGATATGTATAACAATAATTCGTTACAGGATAAGAGTTTATGAGTAGAGATAAGTTCATGTTAGTCCATAGTCAGATTCGATGTGGAGGTCTTAGTTTCAATCGTTGAGCAGAAGTCAGAAGTCAATTGTGGATCAGAAACCAGGACAGGGCCCTGTTTCAATGTATTCACCTTCATCAGCTAATTTTTAAAGGGTCGTGTAAGTTTGAAGACTATCGGATAAATATATCCTGTTATTTTCTACGTTTCTCAGAGATAACAACTACGTGTGGGTAGATCAATGTGTATCTTGAGCTTTTCTGTGCATTTACACTTTGATCTACCCACACATAATTATTGTGTTATACATATCTTTATGAGTTTGAGTTTGTAATCTCTGTTAGAGTTTGTAATCCTTGTCAGAATACATACTTTTGAATGGATTAGTTTTTGTTACAATTGACTATTGATTTGCGAGTAGGGACTACTCCCACTGTTGAAACTTACATTGGCCTGAGTTCTTGGTGTGCTTTTTTCTTAGTATATTTAATAACTAGAACTCCAACTTATTTAACAAGCTACAGGGTGTCATGTCTGTGTGGATGAGGGGAAATGTGAGTTTGCAAGGGGTTTGGTGGGCAGCCTTTGTCTGACTGCAAGTGAGTGTAGTTTGTGAAAGCTGAGCAGTGCCAGGATTTGTGGGGGTGTGGCTTGAGCAAAGCATCCTCAGTGGTGACCCCAGGTGTGGGTGGGCGTGCAAACTGTTGGCCTTTTTGGGTGCCAGCTGCAAAGCGAGTTTGACAGGGCTGGTGGGACATTCGGTTGGGGAGCTGACCTTGCTGTCTTCTGGAACAAAGGCTGTTATCATCTCCCTCTGGGACCCATTGCCAGGCCATAGAGCCCTGTCAAGGTGATGCTTGAGCCACTGGGTGGAAAAACAAACTCTGTTTGGGGTGTGTGTGGGGAAGTCACATTGACTCACTTGGCTTTGCTTTCTCTAGTCTAAAAGGGTGTTGTGTCACCCAGGGTCACTGCAGGCTCATTTTGTTGTAAGCTCCATTCTATTCAATTGGACTTACTCCTGTGCAGGGTGTATTGGTCTTGCACCCTTAAATGCCTTATGCTGAACTCTTCCCATTCAGGCAAAGAGATGGTAGCACCAGAAGCAGAGAGCAGACTCTGTTTCCCCCCCCGAAGATTGCTTTGAGTGAGTGCACAAGCCAGCCCCATTCATTGACATCTGTTAATTTAGTTAAACTTACGGGGTTGGAGCCAATGATGAGTAGACCCAACTAAACCCAACTGGCCATAAATTAGCCATGCCCATTAACTTTGATGGGCCTACTCTGTGTAGGGCTGGCATTGGTGACAACCCTACGGAAGCTTGACTTTGTCTGTTGCCTGGATGGTGAGTTTTCAAAGGAGGCAGGTGACAGCCTTCAAAAAATTATCAGAGGGAGCAAGAGATTGTGCTTGTGTACACATGTGCACTGTGGTTTGCTGATTAGTGCAAAAGCAGTAAGTCCTTTCCTGGCACACTTTCGGTGGGGGATTAGGAGAAGACGGAGCTCTTGTGAGGTCAGGATTAAGGCTGCCCAGCAGCAAGACCTGGCAAGGCTCTCTATTGCCCCCTCTCTGTTTAGGCCCCACCCGGCTGCTCATGGACAGATTTTGCAGCAGGACCCAAGAGGAGGTTGGTATGGCCGCTCTGATACACTTCCGCCATTGGTGTGTGTGTTTATTGCCCAGGTTTGCAGCTGAACAGAGGGAGTTCAATTACTGCCAGCAAACCCAGTGGGCTTGCGGCTATGTCCTCTGGACGCAGGGAAGAGGCTGTTCTGGTGCAGTGCATAACTGCTTCTGCTGTCCTGGGCAAAAACAGCGGGTAGGCTTCTGTTCTCCACACTCTCAGCTACTAACAAGAAGTGCCTGGGTTTTCACATGCAACCGCATGTAGAGAAAGTGAGATGGCAGGTCCCCAAAGGCAGGGAAAGGATGAAGGAGACCTCTAGGCACAGAATTGGGCTTTCATTGAGCCCAGCCTTTTCCCAAATTGAATCCTTCTTCCAGGGCACTCTTAGGCACAACCATTTTCAGTCTCAAGTTTACAGAGTAATTTTGCAATGCATTCTGAAAACCGGGGACTGAAATTGGCTGCCCCTAAGAACACCATTGAAATATTCTTGGCTCCCACCTTTCCTTATAAAATAAGTCAACATGATGAGAACAAAATAGCAGCACAAAACTCTTTTTTTTGGGGGGGGGTGGATCTTCCTGAACCGCTTTGCTAATGATCCAATCATTTTGTTGTTTTCCTTTTCAGTTTAGTTCTCTCTGTTGATGTGCAACCCATGTGGACTTAGGCCGGTGCACACCTGGCTGTAGTGACTTTACCACTTGCAGATATGCCAGTTACAGCAAATCACTGTGGTAGTGGTAACATAAGGACATAAGAAGAGCCTCTTTGCTGGATTAGGCCAATGGCCTTTTGAGGCCAATGTCCTGTTCTCATAGTGGCCAGCCAGAAGCTATGGGAAGGCTGCAAGCAGAACAAGAGCCCTCTCTCTCTGGTGGTTTTCTGCAACTGCTATCAGAAGCATTACTGCCTCTGACCATAATCCAAAAGCTCTGTCTGAACCAATGGTCTGCTTAGGAGGTTCTTGTTTGTTTTTGGTTTGGATTTTTTTGTTTGTTTTGTTTTTTTGGTCTTGGCCTCTGAGGTCCGAGGGTGGGGAACTACCACTCCCATCATCCACGACCATGCTTGCTGCGCTGATGGGAATTGTAGTTCAGCAACATCTGGTGGATCAGAGGTTCTCTACTCCTGCTGTGGTGCTGCTGCTGTGCTGCTGCTGCTGCTGCACACCTGGTGCTAAAGGTCATTGCTTGCCATTTGGGGTTGTCTCGAGTTCCAGATCAGCCCTGCGAGTTGCTGACCTATCAAAGCATCTTCTTACTCTGCCAGGTAATCACCAACATTTAAGAGTCTTGCCTATAAGAAACCAGTAGGAGTGGTCAGGAAGCAGAGGTGAATATATAAGGGGAATCCCTCTGTCAAGTGCTGGTAATAAAATGCAGGAGGTGCCAAGCCAAATGCTCTGTGCTGTATAAATGTTTAAGGATGCTATGGGTGTTCTGCATCTTTGTGCAGCTGAGCCACAGGATCCTCATAGCTTAGAGAAGCCTGATGCTGTGTACTAATGGCTGCTGATGGACCTTTTAAGTGAGCCATATGGAACGGAATGATGATGAATTTTGGTGAAAAGCTGTATAAATATAGAAGAATCCTATGTGAACGATCCAGGAGAGGGAGCCAACAAGTATCTGGCATCCTGCTTGTGATCTCATTGTGATTAGGCACACATGCCTTTCTTCCCAGAAATGTGGAGAGAGCAGAAGCTATGAATGCCTTTGCCTGGTCTGACATTTGCAGGAAGTGACTTGAGGTCTTGCAGCCTGCCTCTGTGCTGACCTCTTGCCTCCACGGCAAGCTTTCTTCCCTGCTCCATTTGGGGCTGCTTAAGACAAGCAAGGCTAGGGGGGACTGTTGCTTTTTTGATGGCCTTTAACTGGAGAGAATTTCCTCCCCAAGCTGCTGGGCTCAAGCCTGTGTGGACACTATGCTCTCCCATCTATGGCCTGTCTTGCTGCATGGCTATCCAGGCAGGAGAGTTGGTGCTTTTCTTTCCAAAGATGTGCTTACTGAGTTTTCAAAAACAGCAACAAACAAACAAACAAACAAGACAGACAATTAATAATAATGATAATATTTTTTTATTTATATCCCACCCTTCCCGGTTCAGAAAACCAGGCTCAGGGTGGCTAACAACAAATTTAAGACACTTAACTGATGCAACAAAAAGCAGCATAAAATACAGTATAAAATGTGAATAACAATAAATTCAGAATTCAAAATCAATTTAGGGGGAAAATCCATCCAATAAACATTAGATGATCACCAGGGCTAGCTGGCTAAATTAGTCCTATTTGGGCCAGCGAGGAGGCCAGGGGAGAATTAGCTGTGGGATCCCAGAGCGGGTAATCTTCATGAAAAGGGGAGAGGGAGGAAGGAAGGGGAATAAAAGATCAGGCTAAGTTCAAATTGAAAGCCAGGTGGAATAGCTCTGTCTTACAGGCCCTGCGGAAGGAAGTGGTCTCATGGGACAGAGCATTCTACCAGGTCGGAGCCATCACTGAGAAGGCCCTGGCCCTCGTGGAGGATAATCTGACTTCCTTAGGGCCTGGGACCTCTAAAGTATGATTATTCATGGACCTTAAGGTCCTCTGCGGGGCATACCATTAAGAAACAAAAACTGCATGGAGCACATTATTGCAGTCGGGATAAAATTTTGCAGGCTTCCTAATGAAATAGATTCTGCAAAGCAATGTTTTGGAGGAGCCGCATATCAATACCGTAGCCTTTCCATGTGCCGTTGGGGGACGCATGTGCCGTTGGGGGGTCTATTCAGCACACTGTTCTTATTTATAAAGCATATCTGAAGGAGCATCTCCACCCCCATCGTTCTACCCGGACACTGAGGCCCAGCGCCGAGTGCCTTCTGGCGGTTCCCTCACTGCGAGAAGCCAAGTTACAGGGAACCAGGCAGAGGGCCTTCTCAGTAGTGGCGCCCTCCTTGTGAAATGCCCTCCCACCAGATGTCAAAGAGAACAACAACTACCAGACTTTTAGAAGACATCTGAATGCAGCCCTGTTTAGGGAAGCTTTTAGTGTTTGATGTATTGCAGTATTTTAATGTTTTTTTGGAAGCCGCCCAGAGTGGCTGGGGAAGCCCAGCCAGATGGGCGGGGTATAAATATTATTATTATTATTATTATTATTATTATTATTATTATTATTATATGAACAGTGAGCATACAACAGTGAAGTAGTCTTGTTTCATAACCCCTCTTTGAATTCTCCTATGAGTGGCCCAGACCCTCTCAAAGTACCCATCCCTGGAGGGTATTTGTGTCTTAGTGCAGGGGGGTGTCCCCTCCTTTCTTGGAGCGTAAAAAGCAGTTGTGGGAAACATCTGTGCTCTCCCCCAGCTGTTGCTGCACTGCACCTCCCATCAGCCCTAGTGATGTGCAAGTCTAAACAGCATCTGGGGTGGGGGGCAGGTTCTTCACTCCTGGTGTAAAGGACGGTGTTCCTGTGCTGTTTCAGACAGCAGCACTTCAAATTGTCCTGTGTTTGACCCCACAAGGTTAGCAAGCTGCGCCCCTTGTGCAAAGGGTTAGGCCGCGTAGCGATTGGGGGGGGCAGGCTCCTTCCAGCCCCAGCGCCACCACCTTGGGGTCTGGCAGCCCTGACCTTCCTCAGCTGACATGGAAACTGATACACCTGCAGCTTGCTGCTGATGCTGACGCTTCTTCCGAGACTGGCTAAACCACACAGAGGAGCTGCTGCTGCTTCTGTCGCTGCAGACCAAGGGCAGGGGGTGAACCCTTTGGCTTAAAGACATGTGCACAGAGACGTTTTCCTTGGGGGAACTTGCCTTCCACTCCTGGACCTTGGAACTTTTAACAGGCTGCTGCCCAAAGCGACAGAATATTTGCATCTTGATGCCAAGCTTGGCCTCTCTGTGCCCAGTTTAGATCCTTTCTGCCTGAGGTAGAGACCTGTGTAGTTCAGAAGGCTGCATGTGCCCAATGCTAACAGAAGCCAGCCTCGTTTAAGAGATGTGGTGCTGCATTATGCACCCTGGAGCTATTATATTCTGGGCCGTGGGTGGGTCAGGCACAAGCTCATTGTCCCGGACAGGATGTTGCCGTGCACATTTGGGCTGCTCTGCTTGAATCGCACTGACCTTTCTCCATTTCTCTTCCCCCAGCTGAATATCTTGGTGGACACAGGGAGCAGTAACTTTGCTGTGGGTGCAGCACCTCATCCTTTCCTCAGGCGGTACTACCGGCGCCAGCTGTGAGTATGCAGGGGAGCTGTGGGGCCGGGCAGGACAGGGCAGCTCTGAGCTTGCAAGGAAACCGCTCCTCTCCTCTCTTCTGTCCTGCCAGCCTCTTTCGCCAGGGAGGTGTTTAGCCCCTAATTTGCTTGAGGGGCTTTTGCTTTTGCAAGCGCCAGCCATAATCCCTATGCCCCTTTGCCCCATCTGTCTCTGGTCTTCTGAAAACACTTTTTCTTTTCAATTTTTTTTTATTGGTTTTCACAACATTATAAACAAACAAATACATAAGACAAACATGAATCATAGCCTTATTGAAAATTACACTTGTTAACATTGTTAAGTGACTTCCTCGCTTCCCCTTGGTTGAATTTCATTGCATGTCCTTTTAACGGTTTTCCAAATCACAGTTCTTATAAAATTTAACTTAAACATTAACATCCTTAAATCTTCACATTATGAAATTAAACATATTAATTTGACACTTAACATAAATAAAATCCTGAGCCAATTAAGTATCTGCAAGCTGTTTTCAGTTAATTTAACTTAACATATTTAACTAGGTAATTATTAAATTTAATCCACTCTTCCTGATACTCCTCCTCCTTCTGGTCGCAGACTCTTCCAGTTAGGTCGGCTAGCTCCGAAAAATCCCACCATCTTCATCTGCCATTCTTCTATCGTTGGTAAGGTCTTATGAAAACATTTGACCATCTGGCCACGGGCTGGCAGTGCCAGGGTGACACCAGCACACAGATCAGGGCTAAATGGCTTCTTTCTGTGCCGTGGGGGAAGAAATGCTGAGCTACTGTCTGGCCCTCGCGCTGCTGCTGGAGGGCACAATGGACAATGGCAGGCTGATTCCCTTCCGCCTCGGTCTGCTCACTGCCTCCTCGCCTTGCGTGGCCGAGTGGGGAGAGCCAGCCAGCCTCCGTTCAGAGCCAAGGCGCTGAAGGGGGAGTCAGCCCAAAGCCGGCCGGGAATGGGCTGGGTGCTATGGACATGCCTCAGGGCGATCTGCTCCTCTTGCTACTGAGACGTGAGCAGAGAAGATGGGCAGGTGCACACCATTGATGTGATGTCACCCCCCACACACCAAGGCACCACATCTGCCAAGAGCGCTTTCTGAATTACAGTGGTACCTCAGGTTAAGAACTTAATTCGTTCTGGAGGTCCGTTCTTTTCTTTTCTTTTTAAAATAGTTTTTATTAAGAATTTCAACATAACAAATTATCAAAAACATATCATCTTCATTCCCCCTCCATTTTCCCCCCTCCCCAAGAAAAACCCTTCCCCCCCCCAAGACTTCCCTCAGCTCCTCTCTCCAGTTTTTCGACACATATTATTCTCTGTATTTTATAAAATTGTAAAAATCCTTACATTATCTATATCTATCTATCTATCTATCATCATCTATCTATCATGTTAACAATAAATTTGTGTGTGTTTATTCAAAACCTGCCAAGGAGTCCAATTCATTTTGTTGTTTTTTAAAGTAATTTGTAAAAAGTTCGCATTCTTCTTTAAAGCCACAGTTGTCCTTGTCTTGCAGTTTGTATGTCAGTTTTGCCAGTTCCACATAGTCCATCAGTTTCCCTTGCCACTGTTTTTTGGTCGGGATTTCCTCATTCTTCCATCCTTGTGCTATTAAGACTCTTGCCGCTGAAGGTTCGTTCTTAACCTGAAACTGTTCTTAACCTGAGGTACCACTTTAGCTAATGGGGCCTCCCGCTGCTGCGGCGCCAGAGCATGATTTCTGTTCTCATCCCAAATCTCTTTTCTGATGAGAGCAGCTTTTGCATCTCATTTGGAAACCAAGGACCCAGAGTCTGGAGGAAGAATGGGGAGGCACACAATGCCAGATGCTTGAAGTCCAGTGTGAAGTTTCCACAGTCTGTGTTGATTTGGGGAGCCATGTCATCAGCTGGTGTTGGTCCACTGTGCTTCATTAAGTCCAGGGTCTACGCAGCCATCTCCCAGGAGATTTTGGAGCACTTGATGCTTCCTTCCACAGTCAAGCTTTATGGGGATGCTGACTTCATTTTCCAGTAGGACTTTGTCACCTGCCCACACTGCCAAAAGTACCAAAATCTGGTTCAGTGCCCATGGGATTACTGTGCTTTATTGGCCAGCAAACTCGCCTGACCTGAACCCCATAGAGAATCTATGGGGCATTGACAAGAGACAGATGAGAGACATGAGACCGAGCAATGCAGAAGAGCTGGAGGCCGCTATTGAAGCTTCCTGGTCTTCCATAACACCTCAGCAGTGCCACGGGCTGATAGCATCCATGCCACGCCGCATTGAGGCAGTAATTGATGCAAAAGGGGCCCAAACCAAGTACTGAGTACATGTGCATGCTTCTACTTCTCAGAGGTCCAGTATTGCTCTATTTGCAGTCCTTGTTTTGCTGATTTCATTTAATATTCTAATTTTCTGAGATTGTTAATTTGGGGTTTTCATCAGCTGTACGCCATAATCATCACAATTATAACAAATAAAAGCTTGACATTTCTCGCTTTGCATGTCATGAGACTATCTCATATATTAGTTTCACCTTTTAAGTTGAATTACTGAAATAAATGAACTTTTCCACGATATTCTAATTTTCCGAGTTTCACCTATAGTCCAGCAGTTTGGCTTGCCGTTCTTCCCTAGTTGGGACTGTTGGTTCTTTGCATCTTTGGGTTAGTAGCATCCTTGCAGCTGTTGTCGCATATATAAACAGTCTTCACTGGTCTTTCCTTGAGTTTTTGAGGCTGCCTCATGCAGGTAGCTCCCTCAACATGCCAACTACCTGTGTTCTCACTGCCTCATAACCTCCCCCTGTGTGTCTCTTGCAGCTCTGGTACGTACCGGGACTTGCGGAAAGGAGTCTACGTGCCGTACACGCAGGGCAAGTGGGAAGGGGAGCTTGGCACTGACCTGGTGACCATCCCCCACGGCCCAAACGTCACCGTCCGCGCCAACATTGCTGCCATCACCGAGTCAGACAAGTTTTTCATCAACGGGTCCAACTGGGAAGGGATCCTGGGCCTGGCGTATGCAGAGATTGCCCGGGTGAGCCTGGCATCAGTGTGGGCACCTCTGAAGAAATGTACCCCTTGCCAGTGTGGAAACTGTATAATGTAAGAGGGTGGGGGTGGGGTGCCCCCAAAGCACAAATCACAACTGCAGAGTACAAACAACAACAACATCTCCCAATGGAAATGTGTTGGGCAGTAAAAAATTATTAAAATTCCCTACAGTTTTCCAGTTTAGAGGCTTACCTGTTTTTGTTTGTTTGTTTGTTTGTTTGTTTTACACTTGGAAGCTATAATGCAGCCACAGAAGCAGCATAGGATAACTCTCCTTTAACCCCCTTGCCCTGGCTCCTGGAAGGCCCAAAGGGGCTTAGGGGGGCAATCCTGTTGCTCTTAAAACTGAGCTCCCCTTAAAGGGCATTGCCCTCTTGAATGCCACCTGCAGAACAGTCTCCTTGCATTTGTCCTCTGGCAGGTCTCTGTTAGACCTTAAGCACTTTACATAATATAATATAATATAATAATAATCATTTATACCCCACCCATCTGGCTGGGCTTCCCCAGCCACTCTAGGCGGCTTTCAACAAAATATTAAAATACAGTAATGCATCAAACGTTAAGAGCTTCCCTAAACAGGGCTGCCTTCAGATGTCTTCTAAAAGTCTGGTGGTTGTTTTTCTCTTTGACATCTGGTGGGAAGGTGTTCCACAGGGCTGGTGCCACTACCGAGAAGGCCCTCTTCCTGGTTCCCTGTAACTTGGCTTCTCGCAGCGAGGGAACTGCCAGAAGGCCCTTGGCGCTGGACCTCAGTGTCCGGGTTGAACAATGGGGGTGGAGACGCTCCTTCAGATATACTGGACCAAGGCCGTTTAGGGCTTTAAAGGTCAGCACCAACACTTTGAAGTGTGCCCGGAAATGTACTGGGAGCCAATGTAGGTCTTTCAAGACCGGTGTTATATGGCCTCGGCGGCCGCTCCCAATCACCAGTCTAGCTGCCGCATTCTGGATTAGTTGTAGTTTCCGGGTCACCTTCAATGTAGCCCCACATAGAGCGCATTGCAGTAGTCCAAGTGGGAGATTTTGCTAAACCTGACCAGCTAGCCACCCTGGATCTCCAGTCTCCAGAGAGCAGGCCTTTGCACCTTTGCCAGCGAGCAGCACGGAAGCTGCCCAGAATAAAATGCACAGTCTCGTCCTGAGTTTGGCGGGCTTGTTGCTCTTCTGGAGTCATCCGACTCCTTTCATCAGCCCTGACCATTGGTCATGCTAGCTGGGGCCAGTGGTAGCTGGGGTTGGTAGGGCCCTAGACGTTCCTCATTCCCAAGGAGCATAGCTCAGTTGGTAGAGAAGGAGACTCTCAGTCTCAGGGCTGTGGGTTCGAGCTCCACGTTGGGCAAAAACTCCACGTTGTTGCAGTTCATCCCCCTCTCCTTGATATTCTAGCATCCAAGCCTCCAAAGCCCAGCAGGGCCTACCTGTGAGCCTGAAGCCCAGGGCTAGCTCACAGCCTACTTGCGTACTCCATGCTCACTGATGCTGAGTCCCTCCTCCTTCGTCTCCTTTTCTGCAGCCTGATGACACCCTGGAGCCTTTCTTTGACTCGCTGGTGAAGCAAACCCAGGTCCCCAACCTCTTCTCCCTGCAGCTGTGTGGCGCCGGCTTCCCACCCAACGTCTCGGACGCCCTGGCTTCTGTGGGGGGCAGCATGGTGAGTGAGGGGCTCGGGGCAAGAAGGGTCTCTTTTTCCTCCTTTTAGTTGGAGCCACAGAACCTGTTCCCAGTCTCGGAACAGCTACATAATAAAGAGGTTGAGAGCACCTCTGGGCATCTGCAGAGTGCCTTCCCCTCACCATTAAGCAACCACAGCCCAACTCCAGGTGCTGAGGTTCAGGCAGGAGGGCTCTCCTGTTTTGGGGGTGAGTATGTGGAAGGCCAGGGACACGGGTGGTGCTGTGGGTTAAACCACAGAGCCTAGGACTTGCTGATCAGAAGGTCGGCGGTTCGAATCCCCATGACGGGGTGAGCTCCCGTTGCTCGGTCCCAGCTCCTGCCAACCTAGCAGCTCGAAAGCACGTCAAAGTGCAAGTAGATAAATAGGTACCGCTCCAGCGGGAAGGTAAACGGCGTTTCCGTGTGCTGCTCTGGTTTGCCAGAAGTGGCTTAGTCATACTGGCCACATGACCCGGAAGCTGTACGCCGGCTCCCTCGGCCAGTAAAGCGAGATGAGCGCCACAACCCCAGAGTCGGCCGCGACTGGACCTAATGGTCAGGGGTCCCTTTACCTTTATTTGGAAGGCCAGCATTCTAATTTTATTTTATTTTATTTATTTTATTTATTTTTTTATTTATTTATTTTATTTATACCCTGCCCTCCCCTGCCAAGACCGGGCTCAGGGCGGCTAACATCAGGTATAAAAACAATTGATTAAAATACAACTTAAAAACAAGATTAAAATACTACTTTAATGCACCCTCATTTCAGTGGAAGCCCAGATCAAAAACTGTTTGGGGGAGAAAACGTCAAATCTTCACCAAGGCCAACTATCCAGACTGGTCCTACGTGGGCCAGAAAAGCCGGGGAAGTCCCTAAATCGGGGTTCCATCACAGAAGGAAAAGGAAAGGGGGGGGAGGGGATCAGGCTGGTTTCAAGCCAAAGGCCAGGTGGAACAACTCTGTCTTACAGGCCCTGCGGAAAGAAATCAGATCCCACAGGGCCCTGGTCTCATGAGACAAAGCGTTCCACCAGGCCGGAGCCAGTGTTGAGAAGGCCCTGGCTCTGGTTGAAGCTAATCTGACTTCCTTAGAGCCCGGGACCTCTAGGGTGTTGCTGTTTATGGACCTTAAGGTCCTTTGTAGGGCATATCGGGAGAGGCGGTCCCGTAGGTACGAGGGTCCTGAGGAGAAGAGTGTGTCAAAGCACACGCAGAGTATCCTCTCCTCTCCCTCGCCCCCTTTGTCCCATTTGCACTTGGCCTGGACTGGAGATTCTAGGCAGCTCGGAGCCTCCAGCAGCCCAGGCAGGAATTTTGCCAGTGCTTTGAGGACCGGTGGGGAGGGGAGGGGAACGGGGCACCCACCACCCTCCTCTTGGCCCCTTCCTCTTAATGCCGTTTCCTGCCACACTTCTGTCCCTGCAGATCATTGGAGGCATCGACCCGTCCCTCTATGTGGGCAGCATCTGGTACACCCCGATTCGGAAGGAGTGGTACTACGAGGTCATCATTGTCAGGATAGAGATCAACGGGCAGGACCTGCAGATGGACTGCAAGGAGGTGAGAGGGAGCCAGGGATGCTCAGCTGCAGGGTGGATAAAAATCAAAGTTTTTAATTTAAAAAATTGGATTTTTTTTTATTTGAATTGGATTTTTAAAATAAAATGACTTTGCAGGAAAAATCTTTCTAAAGATAGTTTTCTTTTCTTTTTTTCGTTTAAATTTTCTTAACATATAAAACACATACATATACATTTACACAATACACAACACACTACCTTATTTTCATAACATAAAACATACCTACATTACTCTATATGATACCTACCTATGCTGTACATATCAACATACCTACACACCTACCCCACACAGACACCCATCAAGTGACTAAGATAGTTTTCTATTTAAGTTACATTATAGTCCAAATGCTATTCATCAGGAAATAAGGATTTGTTTAAGTTTTTCATGTGTGCTAAAACTCAGTCTTAAGGTTTTGTTTTTTTAATTGTTTAACCACATCAGTTAACAAACATGGATACATGTGCTATAATTTTTAGTTAATTGTTTTAATTGTTATTAAGGAAATGATTGTTTTTATCCTTCCAATAAAGTACAGCAGAAAAGTTGTCCAAATATAAACAGTTAACTTGTTAAACCTCACAATAATGTCACAATTATCTGTCTATGTATTTCTAATAGTATAACCAAATTTTTGATGTAACTGTAAAAACTACTCTGAAAATTTATTCTTCCAAAAATGAAACCTTCATCTGGTTGTAAATATTAAGATTATACCAGCAAGAATGAGTCATTTTTTGGGGGGGGGAATTTAAATCAAGTCTTACAGACTAGTGATTTAAATCAATTTGATATCAAATCAAATCCACCCTACTGGAGTGTGTGCAAAGGAGCCACCTGAGCAGTGCCCACCAATGAGATGCCTTGGTTTGGAGGTGGAGGCAGGGCCTAGGAACACCTTTTGGTACTGAGGACTGAGGACTGGACCCTGCCCTTGCTCCTCTGCCCAGGCATTTGCCACAGACCGACATCGCTCGCCTCCCGCTCCTCAGATTTGGGGTCAGGTTGTGCTCAGCCTGGCCATAGCAGGGGAACTCCAGTTCAGAAACCCCCCACCCAACCCATTCAGGTTCCAGTATGAGTCAGCTTCTGTCTCCCACTGCCAGGGCTGGTTTGGAGCTGGTGTGCATGAGCTTGGGAAAGCGAGGGAAGAGGGGAATTGGTGTTTTGGAGCCTGAGCGCCTTTGCCTTTCCCCGCAGTACAACTATGACAAGAGCATCGTGGACAGCGGCACCACCAACCTCCGCCTCCCCAAGAAAGTCTTTGAGGCAGCAGTGAAGTCCATAAAGACAGCTTCCTCGGTGAGAAATGCACTGGGGGTGGGGTGGGGTCAGCAAAGGGAGAAGAGCACCTCCTGGTCTGCCTATCGGCGGGCCCTGCAGAGAGTGAGGTGTGCCCAGCTCTGTGTTCGAATCCTGCACCAAGGGCTCTGGGACCAGAACATTCAGATTCTGCAATGGGGCATACCGTATTTTTTGCTCTATAAGACGCACTTCCCCCCTCCTAAAAAGTAAGGGGAAATGTGTGTGCATCTTATGGAGCGAATGCAGGCAGGAGGCTCTGCTTAGCGCTCCCTTTAAAGAGCACGCATGGAGCGTGGAGCTCTTGGGGAACAGCCCCCAAGAGCCGCACACATACTCCGCACTCTCTTTAAAGGGCTCTTGGAGGAGCCCACTAGCTGGCCTGGCTTCTGGCTTAGCCGCTCAGCCTCTCCCGGGCAGGGGATGAAGGCTCCCCTTGCCCAGGAGAGGCTGTGCGCGGCTATCTCATAAGCCAGGACAGCAAGTGGGATCGCTGTGCAGCGATCCCGCTTGCTGTCCTGGTTTCTGGGATTCAGAATTTGTTTTTTCTCCTTTTCCTCTTCCAAAAACTAGGTACGTCTTATGGTCTGGTGCGTCTTATAGAGCGAAAAATACGGTATATTGTGAAAGATGAATCGGTTAGCGTAACTGGGCCTCCTCTGGGGGGGGGGTGTTGCAATGCATGGAAATGGTAAAACCCATTCCTGGCTTTCCGTTTCTCCACCCCACCTCTGAAAAGTGAGCCAGCATCTCTGTGCTAGATGTTCTAGCACAAAGCATCATTATCCCCTGGGGTGGAGGTGGAGAGCTGCTTCATCTTTGTTGACTTGAGGAATGGAGGAAAAGCCAAAAAAAAGCAGCAGCCTCCCCACCCTGATTCTCCTCCGCCAAAATCTGGTGTGGCTTGTGCTGGTGCCAAGAAGACCCCCTTCCCTCCCTCTTCAACAGACAGAGAAGTTCCCTGATGGCTTCTGGCTGGGGGAGCAGCTGGTTTGCTGGCAAGTGGGCACCACCCCCTGGCACATCTTCCCGGTCATCTCTCTCTACCTGATGGGCGAGACCACCAACCAGTCTTTCCGGATCAGCATCCTGCCACAGGTAGGTGCCACGACTGCACGTGTGCTTTGGGGAGTGTGAAGAGAACCTCAGGTGAGGCATTGCATCTGGCTCTCAGGAGAAGTTCTTGCAGCTTGGAGGGGCCAGGAGTCCCTCCCCCCTTTTAATAGAATTGTATTAGAGATTTTTAACATATTAAGCAACGAAATCCAAACACTCTTTATAGAAAGAGAATAAAAGTCAATGCACCAAAAGAAAAGAATATTAAAGGAAAATATAAAATACAGTAGTTATTATCCTCATCAAACACAATTGTATAAATCTATGTATAGCTATCTATCACTATTTTATCTCAGTCTTCCATCCACATACAGTGGAACTTTGGTTCTCGAACTTCATCCGTTCTGGGAGCCTGTTCGACTCCTGAAACCATTCGAAAACCAAGGTGCGGCTTCTGATTGGCTGCAGGAGCTTTCTGCACCCAAGCAGAGGCCATGTCAGATGTTCGGCTTCCAAAAAACATTAAAAACCCGGAACACTTACATCTGAGTTTTTGGCGTTCGGGAGCCAAAACGTGCGAGTACCAAGGCACTCAAGAACCAAGGCACAACAGTACTGTGAGTTGAATTCTCCAGTCTCTCCACCTGGGAGGTCTCGAGGGGCCTGGAGTTTTCTAGGGAGTGAAGAGGCAGATGGACTGGAGAGTGAAATCTCAGATTAACACCAGCCTTTTGGATTTGGGCACCATGCTTGGCAGCATCTGGGTTAGAGCTAAACCAAAATGCTAACGGATTCAGCTGTGGGCTGGAATTTGGGTGTTGGGAGATTAGGATCTGTTTAAAAGTCCACTCACCCTGCTGGGAATTGGGGGTCTTCTTCAACTATCAAAATTCATCATTTCCCATTCTTCTTAAAGGCACTTTAAAACAATAGCACAGGCATAGTCTAAAAACACTCGCTGGTCTGGGCTGAAACAGTTTAAAAACTATTCCAGCCCTCCGTAAAGTGGTGCCAAAATTACGTTTTTCTTTAAAGGGGAGCCTGCCAGAGCTACCAGGTGCTGCAATTTTGTTTTGTTTTTAATGCAAAGACTAGGTCGGCGTTTCCCAAACTTGGGTCTCCAGCTGTTGTTGGACTACAACTCCCATCATTGCTAGCTAGCAGGACCCAGTGGTTAGGGATGATGGGATTTGTAGTCCAAAAACAACTGGAGGCCCATGTTTGGGAAACCATGGACTACATCAACACGTTGCTGACATCGCAGTGGAGGGTGGTTTTAAATGTGGCGCTAGAAACGCTGGATGCAAAGACAGCTGCGCAGAAGACCAAGGCGGTCTGGAAAATGCAGCTGAGCTTTCGGAAGGGTGAGTTGGCTGAAACTCAAATCACAAATTCAAAATTTTGAAGCAAAAATAGCAGAGCAATTATGCAACTTAGCTCTGGCTAGTGTTTCCTGATGAGCAGGGAGGAAACAAACTGCGCCCCGCTTGATAGCAAACGGCAGCTGGCCTCAGTCCTAGCCCTTGTGAGAAAACAAGAGTGCCTTTGAGCATGGGTAGAGTGCTTTCCTCATCTCATTGGGCAACCCTAACACCCCTGAGCCTAAAGGTAAAGGTACCCCTGCCCGTACGGGCCAGTCTTGACAGACTCTAGGGTTGTGCACCCATCTCACTTAAGAGGCCGGGGGCCAGCGCTGTCCGGAGACACTTCCGGGTCACGTGGCCAGCGTGACAAGCTGCATCTGGCGAGCCAGCGCAGCACACGGAAACGCCGTTTACCTTCCCGCCAGTAAGCGGTCCCTATTTATCTACTTGCACCTGGGGGTGCTTTGAAACTGCTAGGTTGGCAGGCGCTGGGACCGAGCAACGGGAGCGCACCCCGCCGCGGGGATTCGAACCGCCGACCTTTCGATCGGCAAGCCCTAGGCGCTGAGGCTTTTACCCACAGCGCCACCCGCGTCCCCCCTGAGCCTACATGGCAGGATATTCTTATTTGGGGAAGGAAGGTAGTATTTCTGCGCCCCAGCTTACCAAAAGCCTCTCCCTCTTTCAGCAATACCTGCGGCCTGTCGAGGACGTGGCCACGTCTCAGGATGAATGCTACAAGTTCGCCATCTCCCAGTCGTCCACGGGCACCGTCATGGGCGCTGTCATCATGGAGGGCTTCTACGTGGTCTTTGACCGGGCTCGCAAGCGCATCGGCTTTGCAGTCAGTGCCTGCCATGGTAAGTGTAAGGTGTGTCCGGAGGGGCTGACTGCAGAAGGGGCAGACAGACGGGCAGCCTCTTCCAGTGGGCAGAGCTGGGTGCCACTCACCTGCGCAGCTGCCTCAGGCACACCATTGCCTATGCATCTCATAGAACCATGGAACTGTAGCGTTGGAGGGGACCCTGAGGGTCATCTAGTCTAACCCCCTGCAATGCTGGAATCTCAACTAAAGCAGCCATGACACGCCTAAATAGCATGCCCACTTGCCGCAGCCAATCGTCAGCAGGCTTGGCCGCAGCAACCAATCACACACCCAATCGCCGCTGCAAATCTCCTGCTGGCTGCTGCCACAAATCGCCCGTCCCCCCTCGGCTATCCGTGTATAAGACGACTCGCAATTTTTGCCTATAGTATCTTATACACGGAAAAATACGGTACTTACTTGGGATCAAACCTGCACGTCAGTCGTCTGTCTTACCACTGCTGTCCTGCATTCATTATCCTCTGTTTCCTCTGCTCCCCTGGCTTCAGTGCACGACGAGTTCCGCACGGCCGCTGTGGACGGCCCTTTCCTTCACTCCAACATGGAGGACTGTGGCTACAACATCCCCCAGACGGATGAGTCCACGCTGATGACCATCGCCTACGTAATGGCGGCCATCTGCGCCCTCTTCATGCTCCCTCTCTGCCTCATGGTGTCCCAGTGGCGCTGCCTGCGCTGCCTGCGCCGGGGCCACGACGACTTTGCCGACGACATCTCCTTGCTCAAGTGAGGGCTCTTGCCTCCCCACCCTCAGGCCCGTGCCGGCAGCCAGGGGGCACAGCTGCCGGGAGCCACAAACTCCTCCCACCCCCTTCCACCTCTGCCGTGTGCGGGTCTGCAGCTGCCTCAGGGCCACCTGCGAGCGGGGGACTGGCTGCCTGCACCGAAAGCGGCAGAAGACGCGCAACCTTTTCCTCCCTCCTGCCGTGGTTTGTGGGATGGCAGCTTATGGAGGCCCTACTCTTCCTCTCGCTGCCCGCCTGGTGGGCGAGAGAGGCCTACTGTCACCGTGCAAGGAAGAGAAGCAGGAACCCTGGTGAGCCCTGGTTGCTCAGCTCAGGAGGGGCCCAGAGCTATTTCCCACCTCAGGGCTTCATGGCTGTTTCCCCCGTTTTGCTCGTGTTGTGACAATGGGACTACTTGCGAGGTCTCACGACCTGGAAGGGTTTGCCGGAAAGGGGCAGCGGGGATGGACGGACCCCAAAGTGTTGCTTCTGTGTAGCGCCGATGAGAGTGGCTGTCATTTCTTAAAGGGTTTGTGTGCGTGTCTCTCTACAAAATATATATATAGAGATATATATAAATATATGTAACTTATACAATGGTAAACTGAAGGAGGGGGAATCTGTCCCCACCCCACTCAGGGAGCATTTGGGCTCCTTCTCGGCCCTTCACTGGCCGCACTTCTTTCAAGGACCCCCCCCCCCCACAGATAGGGTCTGGGGGCAAGGCCAGCTGTGACACACAGGTGTCCATATTAAGGTGAGGGTTCCATCCGTGCAAAGTGGAGGGAGGATTCCTGCCTCTGGCAGTGGACGGGCCTTGATGGTCCCTTTTTAATCCCAGGCATCCAAAAGGCTTTCAGGAGTCTAAAAGAGTTTTGCAGCCATTGATGAGAAGGAGCAGCTGCCTCTTCCCTTCTCAAGGCTGTCTAGCTGCCTTTCCTAGCTGCTTCCCTGGAGAAGCGCTTTCTCTTCAAGGATCCTCTCTTGATGGGCATCTCACTCCTCCTTGTTCCTTGCCTCCTTCATGAGCAGGACTCTGGGGTGGCAGAACTCAGTGGAGTTCTGCCCATCGTGGGGAGTCAGCCCTCTTTGTGGGGGAATAGTTGTCCACCTGGAGGGCACCAATCTGGGGTGGATGGTTTTATGCAGACATCCATCACACCTGGAGCCATGTGTGACTCACTTGGGTTTAGCAAGCCTCCAGGGGACTCATCACCCCCATATCCACCCTGCCACCCTTTTCTCCAGTTCCATCCTTCAGTGTTTTCCTTGTGGCTTCTTCTTCATTGTTAAGTCCTGCTGGTTGGGCAATGTTAGCTGTGGAGGTGCAGTGAGCCAGATCTAGGGCCAGCTGGATGGTGCTGGCCTCCAAACTCTTACTCTGCAAGGAAACAGGACCCCCCTCTTCCCTGTTACAGTCTGAACATGGTCCAGGAGTCTGGGCTGCCTGTTGCCACAGATATTTAGAGCTCATTTCATCATTGCCTCCTGAGCATCCTTGGGCAACTGCTGATAGCCAGGTGCTGCTTCTGCAGCCGCCGTTGTCACCTGAGCATCACTGAACCTAGGAAGCTGCCTTCTGCCACTGGTCCATCTAGCCCCGTATCGTCCAACATGAGCCTCCCCCAAGGTGGTGCCCTTGGACTACAACTCCCATTAGCCCCAGCTGTGTGATGCTGGGAGAAGGGAGCACAGCTGTGCTTGGCTGGGAAGGATGGAGGTTGTAGTCAAAAACACCAGGCAGGTGCTGGCCTCGAGAGAGGCTGCTCTGCCCCTGGCTGGCAGCAGTTCAGGCAGGGGTCTCTCCTTGCTTTACCTGGAGAGGTTGAGGATGGAACTTGGGACCAGTGGCCTGGAGGCAGCTGCTCAGGTGCCTGGCTTGCCTGCCTCGCAATTGGATGGATGCACCAGGCAGCCTGGCTATGACTTGCTTCCCAGAAAGAGAGCAGGCAGGAGGCCAGGCTTTCCTTCAGGAAATCTGGCCCTGCATCACGTCACCATAGGAATTACCCTTCTCCCACTCCCACATCATTTGCTTGGTGGTAGATGTCCCACCAGGAGAGATGCCTCTGCCTAGGACAAATGGCTGTGCCATGCCCTCGTTGCTGGCTGGGTAGAGCAGAAGCTTTGGGGGAGGCTGGCATGGAGCAGCCGACCTCCTAACTCTGCCCTGCCTGGGCTCTCAGTGGTATGAAGGAGTTGGGGCACATTCCTCCTGCAAGGATGTCCAGCAGGGCTTCCCGGAGCCTCTGTTGGGACGGGTTGGTGCTGCTGCTTACTTTTTCTGGGGGTGTGCATTCAGGGGTCCATGCCTTTGCCTGCCACACTGGCAAGAGGCAGCTAGCAAGGAATTGCCCCAGCTCCAGGAAAGACAGGGGACCAAGAAGCACTTGGCGGTCAGCTGCTGCTCACCCACCAAAGCCATAGACGGGGAGGCTGCCTCTGCCTGGCATTGCTCGCAAGAGACAAAACTTCTGCCACTGAAGTGTGTGTGTGTGTTGCTCAGTTGATCCGAAGGTTGCAAGAGGCTTTATCCCTTCCCCTTCCAACAACATGTCCATTGTTTTCAAATACATGTATGTGTGTGTGTGTGTGTGTGTGTATATATATATATATGTTGGCTGTTCTTGAAATCGTTATTTTCCAAAAACCTTTTTGCATAGTTGCAGGGCTATTTCCGCAGTGTGGATGGAGGTAGCTGCCTTCTGCTTGCTAGAATGCCAGATGCCATCTGCTTGTACAATATTCTGTAAATATTTGTAATACTGGCTCCCAAATCCTCCCAGTTTTATCTCAAATGGAAGTGGAGGAGAAAGGAGCTAAGTGACCCTTTTTATTTTTGTAAATGTCTGGTTCCTTTTAAACACTTGTTTGCTAAGGCTTAATGGACAGGTGGTGGGAGGCCGGGTGGATGGGAGGGGGGGAATAGCTCTGGGATGGATAAATGCACTTTATGGACTGTACCAAGCTTCACGTGGTGCTGAGGGGGGTTCTTTCTCTCTCTCTCTCTCCTCCCATTCCCTGGAATGGTCTGGCTTATGGGAGTGAAGCACTTGTTGGCCATCAGCACCACTGAAGCAGTTTGCAAAGCTTGCTTTCAAATAATGACCTCAGTGGTGTGATGGCAGAAGGCCCTCTCTCCTGTCCTGTCCCCCCCCTCCAAGCACAGCAATGGCCCCAGCCAAGCACCTTACACCCACACCCATCCACCCACCCAGAACTCAATACCATTTTATAAGCATCAGGACAGATCAGGTCATTTTCAAACACAGGCAAGCTGGGAAAGAAGAGCAACGCAGATGCCACTCTAAGCTTTTTGCTGAAGGCTTGGGGAGGGGAGGGTCCACCTTTTTGTGCACATCTGGTCTGGTCCTTATGACCCACAAGCACTTCGACCCACAGCTTTCAAACTCTGGGGGAGCATGCACACACACACACACACACACACACACACACACACACACACACACACACTGTGATGGAGAAGGCCTTCCAAGTGATAGAACCCCAGCTTCCACCATGGCCAGTAGCTTCACCATTCCCCCACCCTACAGCATTTTTTGCCCTTGCAGCAGAATTAAAGCACCACTGCCTCTCCCCAGGCTAGCAAAGCAGATCTGAAGTGGCCAAGGAGCATGGCCCAAGGGGCGTGTGCGCACACCTGTGCAGTTCTGCATACTTCCCAAGCTGGCTTTGGAAGGTGAGCAAAAGGCTTTGTCATGGCCACGGTAGGGGAGAGTCCCATTCTACATATCCCAGAAACAGGGGGCAGATTTGTGTTTACTGAAGGCAGAGTAAGGTAAGGTGGTGGCACCCCATTTGGAAGTTTGAGAAACACTGCCTTAAACAAACTTTGCTCTTTGACCTTCATGCTCAGCCACGCATTGTGGGACCCACTTAATTTTTTTCTTTCTCTTCGTATGGTGCGGGACAGTTGTGGTGACCTGCCTTGGATGAGGTGATGGCAAGAGTACTAGGTTCTGACATAGCTGATTCTAAGATCATGGCAGGGAAGCATCAGCCACTGTAACCCAACCCCTAGGTGACAGGGGCCACCAACTCCCAGCCCCTGACTTGAGCCTCTTGCATGGTGACAACCCCTCTCGATTTGGTAAACAGTACGAGAGGCTCCCAGCCACATAGGACTCTGGGGGCTCCCTAGCAAACACTGCCTTAATCAGCTGCTACAGGGACTTCCAAGGCAGCTTGAAAAGGGGAGGAAGGAAGCACTGCGAAGTGGGGAGGCCCAACGACTGCCAGTTTGCACATGTTGCTGCTCGTTGCAGCCAAGGCCAGAGAGGAGCAGCAGGGTCCTTTGCCCACTCCCCACAGCTTTCCCGAAGAGCAACACAACCAGGATCCTGGAGGCAGAACCAGAAAAGCAGAAGGTGCTGAAGAAGAGAGTGTAAAATGAGGGGTTTGGGATAGGCACCACCTGAGATTCCAGCACTGTAACTCCCCCCAACCCATGTCTCTGTCAGAAACATGAATGTTTAACATGGTAAATTATTGCATTAAAGAGAGAAGAAAAAAAGTCTTTTTCCCCCTCTTTTGCTTCAAGCCCCATTATTTCTGGTGTGGCAGAGAGGCAGCAAAGGAAGAAAGGAGGTGGGGAAAGGGCAGGAAGCCCAGACAGCAGCGACAGCACCACACACACTGCATAATATACACACTTTATTATGAACTGGTATGTATACAGACTTTCTATACACACATTCCCTATAGAATAAAAATGTACATGTGTATACATGGCCATATAAATATAGAGCTGTAGAAATTCTGGGGGTGCCTGGCGTCTTGCTGGAGCTCTCGTCCCACCCAGGCTGAGTACCGCTGTTGTCCTCTTTGCACCGGTGGTCATTTCGGACTGGGACAGAAGGGGCAAGCGTCGTTGGTGTTGGTCTGAGCCCAGAACTTGATGCACTGGAGGAAGAGGACAAAGCCTGCCGTTTCACAACCGCCTCAGACTGGGGCAAGGGGCGGGGACTAGAAGCAGCTTTTGCACAGGGGCAAAACCGCACAGGGTCTTTTCCCACCTCCAGCAGAAGCTATAGAAAATGCCAGCTTATGCTACCACCTACTAATCCGGACCCAGTTGGATCCTCAGTGTTTACTCCTCCACTGCCAACCAGTTTAAGGATCCTGTGTCCTTGAAACCAGCGCTTCTTGAGAGCTGGAAGGCGGAACAGACTCTGATCTTGACATTTCCTATCCCATCTACTAAGACCCTAGGAAGCTGCCTCCCCTAGGAGGGAGAGGGCCTTCACTCCATTTGGCTCATGGTGGGGAAACTCCTGAGTAACAGCAGCAGCAGTGGCAGCAGCAGTTCTTTATAGCGACTAGAGCAGGGGTCTCCAAACTAAGGCCCGTGGGCCAGATACGACCCGAGGGACTCGTTTATCCAGCCCACGGCAACTCCCGCAGCCGCCACCCGCTCTTACTGGTGCTGCGCTGCACAGCTGCCTGCTTCCGGGTTGGAGGAGCACTGGAAATAGCTTGTGCGCATGCACAAGCATTATTTGCGCATGCATAAGCGTTATTTCCGGTGCTCCTCCAACCCGGAAGTGTGCCGGAAATAGCGTGTGCGCACGCGCTCCCCCGCCCTGCTGCGCGATCGGCACTGGAGACACCGGCCCGAGGCGCGGTAAGTTTGCTGATCCCTGAACTTGAATGTGTGATGGCCTTACAATTTGCTCCGCCACAGCCAGGTGACGGAACCCCATGGTGTGAGTCCTTCCCTGGAAGGATGCCGCGCTGGGCCTGCCCCATGGGCTGCCTGTCTCTAGGGCACTTCTGAGCACCCACCTCCTTGTGCAGCACATGGGAACAAGCCATGGGGTGGAGCTCGCTAGGCTGGACCAGTTTCTGGCACATCAGACACAGTTTGCAGGCCGCAGGAACCTGGCGGGCACAGAGAAAAGGGAGAGTGGCAACGAGGCTGTGGGGTGGTAAGTTAACGGGGGTGGCTTTGACCACCGGGCAGGGAGGGCTTCCTCTATAACCTCCCTCTTTCCCTGCACCCTTTTCCCGGGCCCAGTTCAGAAAGGCCAGGGAGGTGAGGAGATGTCGATGTCTTACCTGGGGTGGTGTCCCACTGTAGGAGACCTGAGCCGAGGGCAAGAACATGGGGTTGCTCATCTGCGGCAGAGGAGCAGGGAACATCGGGGAATGGATCCGGCCAAGAGGCTGCAGTAGCAGAGAAAGCCGGGAAGGGTGGTGGCGGTTTACCATCAGGCGACCCCTTGGCCCAAGCCATTCTCCCCACCTCGAGGGTCCCAGCCCCTTCTTTCCACCTTGTTTACCTGGGTCCCGACAGCTGCCACCCGCTCCTGCTCAACCAGCTTGGCGGCCACCAGCTGGTTCAACTCCTCCATGGTCAGCCCAGCCAGAGTCCTTCGTGCGGCTTTGATCTGCTGCAGGATGTTGGTCAGCTGAGCCCTGGGAAGGGAGAGGGAGACAGAGAGCATGAACTGGGTCAATTGTTACAATGGGTGCTGGATGCTGCCCGCCAGAGGTGGGGTTATCAATAGGTTCTCTCATACAATCTGATGGGAGGGATGGGATCCCCTAAAGCAAGCCTGATCTTGGGGAGCAGCCCCTCCACCCCAAGTTCAGGCACCAAACCACAGCCTCAAATCAAGCAGCAGCAGCAATCCAACAACCCCTTTTTCGCAGAACAACTGGAACAGAGCACAGCAAAGTCTGCTCCCTGCAATTCCCCTTGCAGCTGAGGGTTTGGGGTCGACTGTGGCCTCTTGCCCCACATGCTCTTTATATGAAGGCTAAGAAACCACCCAGAACAACCCTTTGGCTCCCCCAGGCAGCCCCTCTTCCAGGGGTCAGGCAGTCTAAGCTGGCAGCAGAGCTGCTCCAGAATGAATCTCTCTCACCACTGGATAGCTCAGATAGTTAAGAGAATGGTGCTGATAATAAAATTCTAATTCATGGTATTATTACAGTCACAGACCAGTTCCGGGTCACTTACAATATCAGGAAAATCATAAAACACAACAGGAATACATTGAATTGCAATTGGGTATAACAGAGACAATTCAGATATAAAAAGGTAAAGGTAAAGGTACCCCTGCCCGTATGGGCCAGTCTTGCCAGACTCTAGGGTTGTGCGCTCATCTCACTCTATAGGCCGGGAGCCAGCGCTGTCCGCAGACACTTCCAGGTCACGTGGCCAGCGTGACAAGCTGCATCTGGCAAGCCAGCGCAGCACACGGAACGCCGTTTACCTTCCCGCTGGTAAGCGGTCCCTATTTATCTACTTGCACCCGAAGGTGCTTTCGAACTGCTAGGTTGGCAGGCGCTGGGACCGAACGACGGGAGCGCACCCCGCCGCGGGGATTCGAACCGCCGACCTTTCGATCGGCAAGTCCTAGGCGCTGAGGCTTTAACCTACAGCACCAGATATAGCAGCAGTTAAAAATATATATTAAATCTTGATCACTAAAATATAACCTAAAATTATCATTTAAAACCTTAATCATTTTGGTAGTACAGCTTGTTCCCTAAGTTTTATGGCAGTCGCACAGGTGATAATACCACAGTCACAGGTTCAATCCCCATGTGGGACACAGTTGCATATTTCTGCATCACGGGGAGTTGGCACAGATGATCCTCAGGCTCCCTTTCTAACTCTACAATGCCCCTACCCTACCCTCACTCCCCCAGGCTACTGCTTGCAAGCTCAGCTCTGCAGCACCCTCCCAGGCTGTCATTGCCACCCGCCCCAGGGCCACGAAGAGAACCCTCTGCGTTTTGCAGCACCCTAGACAGGGTGAGCCATGCAAGGTGAGCCAAGCAAGGTGAATGCCCAGCAGTTCCTGTTTCTCAAGACAGCTCTGACAGACCAAGGAGCTCAACTCACTTGTTACACTGGGGAAATCGTGTCAGCAGTTTTTCCAGGAACTTCTCAAGCTTGTCCACGGGGGGCGGAGGGGGTCTCTGGAATTCTGGCGCCGCTTTGACTCCGCCCAGACCCGGCGGCGGAGGGAGCGAGGCGGCGGCGGCAGGCGTCACGCGAGGACCCGCCAGGGAGCTGAGGACGGGGCTGTTCCTGCCCTGGGAAGCCGTGGGCAGAGGGGGCGAGGGCTGGCTGGGCCTGGAGATGGTTGGGTTGAGCAGCGGGAAGGAGAGCACCCGGGGGTCAGCGCTGGGCATGACCATGGGCATGGGGACTGTCCCAATGGGGAAGGGCAACCGGGGGGCAAGGGAGGAGTTGGGCTGGAAGGCTGGTAGGAGGAAGTCTGTCTGAGATGAAGAAAAAGAAAGAGGGAGGGTGCCCGTTAGCTCAGAGTGACCACTTGCCAGCCCCCTCTTTTGAAGCAGGTTTTCCTCCTGAGGTCACGGGGTATCCCCAGCACAGCTTAGGCGCTGCAGCTGGGCCAGGCAGAATGAAGAGCTGATTTGCAACATGATTCCCTTCCCATCTTCAGGTTCAGTTGTGCATGCCCGCCTCCACCCGCAGCAATACTGTGCCTCAACTTGGAGGGGAGGGAAAGTGCTCACCTCCAGGGGTGGTGGGGGCAGGGGAGGCGTGGGGATCTGTGGGAGGCTGCTCAGCTTGGCCCCGTTCCGCACCAGCTGGATGTGATCGTTGTACTGGTCCTAAGAGGTGAAACGCATACATTCAAAACAAAATTTAAAAAGAAGTGTCAGAGTTGTTATTATCATAATTAATTCGCCTTCTAAACCACCGTCTCAAGGTGAACTATAGCCCTCTCTACGGAAGCTTTTTATGTTTGATGTTTTATCACTTTTTAATTATTATTATTAATATTCTGTTGGGAGGCACCCAGAGTGGCTGGGGAAACCCGGCCAGATAGGCAGGGTATAAATAATAAAATTATTATTATTATTATTTCATTTAAAACAGCTATAACAGAAACAGAACAAATACAATTAAACGATATTAAAACCCTAAGAGGGGGGCATGAAAAGGCAGAGCCTGAAAATTATCAGGGAATAGAAACAAAAAACAAAAGTTGTCAAGAATAAAAGATTTGAATTACTGTAACCTCACTTATTGTTATTTGGGATAATTTTGTTTTATCTATATGCAGGAGTTGTTAAAGGGACAGCTGAAGGACAAGGAATTTGCTAAGAAAAGAGATAAAGCTGTAAAAATAAGCAGCATGTTAAAGGGGATAAATTGGAATATACCTGAGAGAGTGGGAAAACAGGTTTTTTTGGGGGGAAACTGTATTAAATTAATTTTAATTCAGTGTTGATGTGTTATAAATTTGATAATAAATAAAAACTAATTGGCAAAAAAAACCCCTAGAGACCCATTTATCCAACTGGGAAAGTCTGTTGGAACAAAAAATGTCTTCAGCTGTTTCCGGAAAGTGCAGATAATGGGATCCTGCTGTATCTCAAAGACTCCCTTCCGGAATCTGAGAAGAGGGAGCCTTTTGCACTTACACGGACACTCTCCTTGGTCATTCGTATCCTGTTCAGCCTCGTCTCCCACTCTTGCTTTGGCCGGATGGTCTCCAGCGTTGGGGGGGCTGACCTGCCCAGACA